CGTAGTGATTCAAAGTCCACAAGGAACTCTAGCTCTGAAAAATTGGAAATAATATTGTAGGAAAGATCAAGGCCTTCAAGCGACTTCAAATTCTCAATCCCACGCAATGTAGTTAGAGCATTGTTCCTCAAAACAAGTTTAACAATATGAGAGGACACCTGCATAGTCCAGCAACATTGGTGTATGGGTCCAAAAGCTAATTCCTAAATCAAAACTTTTGAAGAAAATTGAAAATTATCTTTTACTTCACAATTAATCTATTTGGGGACTTATCTTGTGAAATTTACCATGCATATAAGATGGTGGAAAATGAAACCACAGGCTTATCTACACCATCTAACTAACAAGGAAGACATAAGATGGCTCTTATTAAATACACAAAGCCTCAGAATCACTAACTAAAAACATAAGGTAAGTATTCATTTCAGAAAAAAATCACAAGTACTCATTTAAAAAAAAAATCATAAGGTAAGTACTCATTTAAAAAAAAAAATCAGAAGGCAAGTACTACAACACTCCCAAGATTATGCTCAATGATGATTAAAGTGTTGAATGTATAGCAAGAATTCTAGATTGGAACAAGCCGTTGTTCATTATAGAACTAAGTAGAGATCTCATTTCCACTCTCTCTAATACTTTTTTGGAGCTGGACTATTCTTTTCTAACACTAATAAATCTTCTGAAGCTTAAGAGCAAATTTTCTGAAAACCACAACCAAAATTTAGACACTGATTCAGGCAGAAGAAGGAAAAAATTATTAGAAAATGAATGTGCTAATAACAAATTGCACATATAGAACCTGGGAATCACCTTCTTGAAAATGATATTCATAAAATGTCAGGGCAAAAAAAGAGAAAGCAAAGAAACTTCGGTTAAACAAAAAAAAAACGAGAAAACTGAAAAAGTGATACATGATGTTTGGATAAGTTTATCTCAAAAAAATGATGTTTGGATAAGTTACAAGTGGGTCGATTGATTTTTAAAAACAACAAACTAATCTTTGTGTCTTCTTACTATTACAAAATTTAGTGGGAAAGAATAAAACAATTTTTTATTTACCTGTTATATAGTAAGTTTTCAAGCATACTTTTTTTTTACATTCTCACTGTTTCTTCTTCTTTACCTTCTGAACAAAAACCTTAACTCCCCTTTTTGCACTTTTTTATTAAGAATAGCCTGCTTTCTTTTTTGTTTATCTTATAGTTATGTCATTGCACGTAAAATATATTTAAATATTGTTTAATAGACACTAGATTGAGTTGATAGGTATATTTGTTATATAGGCACTAAGTTGTCATTTTTCAAAAATAACATTAGAACTATAACTAATCTCAAGAACTCTCTGTAACTTACTGTAAAATAAATTAATTAAACAAAGAAACACTGATAAACAAGTCAACAACTATGCAGAGGAGATCATTCCAGATTCTATATTTATGAAAATAGAAAAATACCTCCCGAAGGACAATACAAGAACATGAATCACATAATAAAGAGGAGAGAAAATAAATGTTTATGAAATGACCAATGAAACATAAAGCTAAATCACAAGATACAAATATATCAGATTGCACATCCGCATGCAAAGAATTTAACAAATAAATACATAAAGCTGGATCCATAAAAGAGTTAGTTGTGCAAGAAGTGTGAGACAAATAAACAAAGAGCTAGAAAGAGGCCAGAATGTATTCTTAAACTAACAAATGCATCATTGAACTTAAAAGCAGTAATCATAATCATGTATCTTCCTACCTCACTAAAGTAGGAAATCGTTCTGAGATTATTGAAGCCGAGATCCAGGTGCTTCAGTTTGGTACATTTCCGAAGACTATCCACCTTTGCAAACTTGTTTCGACTCAAATCAAGTGTTTCGACAGCAGGGAGAAGTTGTAAAGACTCATCCATGAGCACCAAACGGTTACATGCACAAGAAACAAAGGACAAACGGTTCCAGTGCGGTGAGTCCTTTATTTCCACTATCCTACTCGCAAAAACATGTCGTAGTGCATCCTAATCATGCAAAGAGGGAAATAAAAGAAGATGAAGTAAGAATTTCAAGTATGGTCATGAACAAGGAAAAAAATATTGTTAGCCACGTAAAGTTTGGGGAGGCTGAAGTTTGGGGAGACAGCCTCGGATAAAAGTGAATCAAGAATCTTAAGAATAGTTACCGCTGAGACATAAGTTCTTCACTGGAACAAGAGAAACATTATTCGCTCCAAATTTTCTAGTCTGAAAAAGAGGGAGCAGGAAAGATGCAACGGAGAAGAAAGGGCCACCAAGAAGAATTAACGCTATGGTTGAGTAAATACAGAAGGAAAAGAAAACTAACTTCAAAATAAACAGATATCACTCTGTTTATAAGATCGAACAAGTATATCATTCAACAGAAAATAACTTAACCAAAAAAATTTGAATCGTTATCAAAAACCTAGTACTTCATTTCAAAGGATCCAGTACTCCCTCCATTTGTAACTCTAAATTTGGATCCCATATAGTAGAGGAAACATCCACATCAACCAAACGGCCAATAACCGGCCCATTCCCGGCGCGCAAAGAAAGAAACATGAAGAATACGAGGAAAATAAAAGAACTCACAGTCGAATTGTGGCAAATTATCTTCTCCAGAGTATGCCTCAGCTCAAGCAAGCCCTTGGCAGCAGAAGTGGACAAATCACAGCCCCTGAGTTCCAGGACCCTGAGCCTCCCGAAAGGCAAGAGCGCGAGAGGGGTGGGATCCCGTATGGGAGGAGGAAGTGAGGAAACGACCTTCAATGATGTGAGAAGGCGAAGTATCCTGCGCAGCTGCTCGACGGCCCGGTGGTCCCCGAGGTCCGAGACGTAGGCGCGGAGGTAGTCGACGGGCGCGCCGGCTAGCATCCTCTCAAGCTCCCGCAGGGCTTCCAGCCGCGACTGCACGTACCAAAGCCCCGCGGGATTGAGCTTCAACACCTGAGTCCCTTCGAGCAAGGACTCCGCATGCTCCTCCACAAACTTGACCAGTTTCTCCAGATATCGATCTCCGGTGACAATCTCCATTGGTGGAAGAATGAGGCGTCTCAGCTCATATTAAAAAACACATTTAATTTACAGAATCAGGCATAAGAAGACACTCGGGCAGCATATGCATGCATAGAGAAAGATAAGGATCAACAGACAATGAGAATATCAATGGGAAGCGAGTTCCAATTTCCAAATGCAAAGGCGCATATATAAAGACAGAGAGAAATGGGGAGCAGCAAGGACCAAGAGATAAAACCAAAATCTCGCGAATTCCAGAGTGGAGAGAAATTGGGAGGGACTAGTAATGTGAAGAAGAAGTGTGAGTTTGAAGGGAGAAGGGAGGCTTGGGGGGAATTGAGAAAAGAGAAACAGCCATGGCTGATGAGGAAATGAAAAAGATGGAGAGAGATGGTAAATTGGGTTGATGATAGAAGCGTAAGTAATTAATTGGGTCGAATGATTGGGTTAGACTTAGGCATTTGAGCAGAGATTTTTGTTTTTTGTTTTTTTTTTTTTTTTTTTGACAGTTTTAATTTTTGAAAATAAATGTAAAAATATAATATTTGGGACGGTAAGATGATGCCACGTGGACCTCATGCAATTGGCATTGGGACCCGCCGACAGCATATCGTCAACGTCACACTCCTGGAACCTGAAATTCATTTGACCGTCTGATCGGAAGATAGTCAAACTATTGACGGTTCAAATTCACTCTTACCAACGTGTTCGTCTTCGGATCAGGTGGTCTTTGGCTGATTCTTCCGTTGAATTTCGTGTGATCTTCTCTTAGAGTTCCAGCATTTAAAAATAAATTTTGAAAATTTTAATCAATTTTGATCGATTTGAATAAAAATTTTAACTCATTTTTTATTTTAGTTATTTTAATAATTTCATTCTAAAAGAAAAAAAAAAACATCATTGTTAGAATCTTAGCTCCAAGGAAGATAAAGAAAGCTCAAAAAAGACTTCAACATGTTATTCATTATTTTTTTTATCATTTGAATAAATTTCGTTACGATAAAAAATTTTACATATTATTTTATATATTTTAAAAAATTATATCAAAATAAATACTTTAGTTTAATATTATTTTAAATTATTTATCGTTATATATGTGTAAATATATACGAAAAATTAAAATTCATTATATCTTTATTGATATGTTGATGAATAATTAAGTTACCTTATAGTAAAATTTATTGATTCATGTATTAAAATGAATAATTACGCATATGGATAAGGGTGATGCATGATTTCTTTAAATGTCTTGACCACAGGCCTCTTCATCTATGAATACATGTTCTATACTTCATATAATAATAAAATTGATAAATATCAATAATATATTTTTTATTATTTTAGATTTAAAAATTGAATGAAAAATATTATATACGTGTATATGAATATTAACTTTTTAGATTATATGAGATACATATATATATCATTAAGTTTAATGTATCATAGTCAAATTTTCAAAAGCTATTATCCTTTCAATGAATCTCAAACTTCCTTTTAAGCATTCATCATTTTAAGCTCTCTTTTTTTTTCTATTTTTCTTTTATTATATTTAGATCATTATTTTTATTTATAACATTAATCGAAAAAATATAACTTATGATAATTAATTACAATAATAGATTAACATTTATATATAAAGTTGGACATTAGTGTTACGGCATAGCCTAACAAATTAGCATATTTTGATTAATATTTTAAATTTAATTTAATATTTTTTTGGGAAAAACTCCTATTTAAATTTAACATCATATCATTAATTACATCTTAGTGTCTATATTTATATAAAAAAATTATAATGTGTTAATTATATAATTTATTGGAATTTATTATTAGCATTGAAGACCTAACATCAAACAATTTGAATATTATTAAAATATATTTATGTACAAAGTATAAATATTTACATTGCATCTTGATTCAATCTGACATTCACTTCATGACGAATTAATAATTCGATTTCCCATGTTAAGTTTAATATGTACATATAATTAAAAAATATATAATTTATTGAATTTTGAGTTACAATTAGATTATCTTAAATTCTTATGTGTGAAAAAATTCATATAATTGAAAAATTAAGCATTGAATTTTCTGTTATAAAAAATTAAAATAAAAAAGTAACATAACAAAAGTACCAAATGTCTAATTATGCATGTTAAACACTAATATAAGATATTATATTCCCGAATTAATCAAGAACTAAGTACGAATTAAACCAAACATCATTTTATGATTGTTTTAATTTTTATCATATAAATTAATTTTTTTAAATTAAAAAAGAAAAATTATCTGTTAACGTCACGTTTTAATTATTTTGCGGTGGTATAATTATCACATGATACGTATTTATTAATTTAATAATTTTATAATTATGTAAAATAAAATTATTAATTAAAAATAACAATTTATTATGATTATACGAAAATGTAAGTTCATTCATAATCTTGGTGCCGGATCGTGTATATCATTATGATTATTCATTATTATATGTGAATAAAAAAATTAAATTATGGCAACTTGGTTTTTAACCCAAATTAAAGTTGCTTAAGGAAGTGAATATATTCAATGAATATTATTATTAATTCTCGAAATTACGATGGACATGAGTGGAAAGATGTTTAAGATGGCTTCTGATTTTAATTAATATACGACATATTATATACTCATGTTGATTATTGAATTTGTTATGAACTATTCTTATTTAAAATAATAGTGAATTGATAAAAAATTAAATTTATAATATAGTTATAAGTTAAAGTAAAACTAAAATTAAATTTAAAGTGCATTACTTTAATTATACACAAAATTATTTTGTATTTAAAAAAATAATATAAGAATGAAGATTTATAAGATAAGAACAAAATATGATATTGTGTTAAAACATATTTTTCAAATTTAAATATTGTACATATATATTTATATATTGACAAATATATATGTAATTTTTTTTTTAAAATTAAAAGTATTCTAGTTGTCTTATTAATGAAGAGAAAGAGATAACACCCACATCAAATTACTAGAATTTCTTTGCATTTAAATTATTTTCCTTCTATTTTTATATTTAAAATTTACTTTAAGAATACAAATATGATATATATATATATATATGTATATCTTTAATATAATAAAATAGATAGAGAACTCCAATGTAAAGGAAGGATTTAAATGTGTCCAAAATTTTCCTTTGTAAGTAAATAATACTTTTTTATGTTAGATGCAAAGATGAATAGCTTAATGGATACGACCAAAACATTACGTGTTAAGGATTACTTTTTCTTAATGTTGTCTACTTCTACACAAGTTTGAATTACTTGTATAAGTCATTTTTCTTCCGTATGAAGAAAAATAAAATTCAATTTACGCCATTTAAAATAATAATAATTGATTAAATTTATAAAAAATAAAATAGATCTAAAACTTAAATTAAATAAAACCAACATGCTCGTATCAAATTAAATAAATTTAAATTTGAATCGGAAGCGTACTTGAATTTATAATGAAAGAGAACAACATGTCCTATAATTTATATTCTAAAATTAGCACATAATCATTTAGAGTTAATCACGATAGAATTTTTAAAGATTTTGTTTTCAACTTTGACTCGTATTTTTTATTTAAATTATTTATTATTACAAAATATTGAAAAATTTAAGCAGATAAATAAATTAGTCTTTAACAATTATAAAATTGTTCGTTTTTTAATTTTGATATTTTGAATTAGCTAATTATTTAAATATATATCTTTAACGTTGTTATGTAGGCACAAATGATAAATTGAGAATGAAAACTCTACTTTAAAAAATATGAAAAAACTTAAAAAACAAATATATATATATATATATATATATATTTGTTTAATATCATGCAGACAAGGAACAAAAAACAGAGAATAAAAAAGAGCAAATCCAGCAAATTGATCTTTAGAAATAAGCTGGATTTGGTGACTAACTAACCATCCAGAAGGATTAGTAATAATCTGCAGAGGGAATAATTTAAAGCAGATCATGTGCCCGGACCACCTTTAAGAAGGAAGATAGATTTAACAGAAGCCAACTCCAATAACAATGTCAAGCTCTACAGGATCTCCTACACTTTCTCCTCATATAGCTCTCTTCTCAGCTGCAGAAATGGGCACCCAATTACTTTTCTTCAACTTGCTCCCACGACTGCAGTTTGTTAAAGGTGATCCCTGCAAACCCAACTGTTCTATTGGAAGAGTCCATATACATATCCTACTTCCTTTCAATGCACCCAGAGATCAAGAATCTTTTTCTTCCCCAAGTAATCACTTCTTACCCTTTCAACAAAAACATTGTATCCATTTGATCTCTAATTCGATGCTATTAGCCCTTCTGTCCACCTTTTCCATCCTTTACTTTCTTCTCTGTCTCCACCTTTTTGCATAATCTTTTCTCACTTGGTAGTGGCTACTGGTCATAATCTAATTGCTTATGGTCTTAGCATCCCCTACTATGTTGTTTTAAAAAAAAATTTGAAGGTGCTCCCGGAGCAAAGATAGTTGGAATACAATGTGATTATTTAATTTAATTTTTTCATAGATTTTAATAAAAATTTGAAATTAACTAGTCATTTACAAGGTCTTCTAACTGATTTGTACTTTAGAAACACTTCATAATTATCTTGTCTACTACTATTGTTTCCGATTCCATCTTCTCACCAACTATTGTTTCCGATGCCAGTGCTCTAGCAGGAGCTAAAGGAGTTTTAATAAATACCTTCAACTGGTTTGAGCTGGACACACTAGCTGCTCTGAACAATGTGAGAGTCGAAAGTCACCATCAATTGGGCCATTTGGAATTATACGAGGTTGAGAAGGATGAGAGCAACTGCCTGCCATGGCTGGGCAACTAACCAGCATAATATGTGGCTCAACTTCAGAAGCAAAACTGCTACCTCCGAGTATTAAATAAGATATCTGGCAAATGGGTGAAAAAGAGGTGGATATAGATTTCTGTGGGTCCTTAAGGCTAAGAGGGAGGATCTGAAAGACGGCTAGGTGTCCAATTTTTTGAGAAATATGGTGGTGAAAGGGTGGTGAACCAAGAAGTGGTTCTGGCACATCCAGGTACTGGAGGATTTATTAAATCAGTTTGGATGGAACTCAGTGACAGAAGCAGCATAACAAGGGATTCCCATGCTGAGTGACTAAAGAGTAAAGGTGGAGATTGTGGAGAAGACAGGGCTGAAGACATGCGAAAGGAATCGGAGATGGGGTGTCAAGAGATTGAAGAAGGGACACAATATACAGGTAAAGCTTATTGAAAAAATGGAAGATGTGGCACTGAGGCGTACAGCAAGGAAAGTAGGCGAAGAAGGAAGAAAAGCTCAGGCAGCTGTTGGGACCTCTGAGAAGGTGATCCTGAAAGTCCTTGGGTTGCTAAGACAGAAGATCGAGTGACTATATATTTTATTAATTCATTTTCTGTGTACATGTCTATTTGGTCGGTGAAGGAAAGAAAAAATAAAATTGGAACAATGAAATAATGGAAACTGGAATTTTCTTACTCTGCATATATACAACTAAAGTGGGAATTTATAGAACTGTATTCATAGAAAGATTTTGCTATAATTACTATGTGAAATTTTAACCAAATATAAAGTCAAAGTGAACTTCAGTTAACCTGCTCACTACTGGATATGCTTCTCTTCTCTTCTTCAACCTGTTCAAGCAATGCTTCTAGCTCCGCTTCTGTTAAGCCCTCTAATCGCTTCTGTAAAACAGAAGTTAAGCACATTAGTCTCAAAGAACAAATAATAATGGAATTAAAACAACTCCACCGCAAGCTAAAAAAAGATCAGGAAAACAAAAATAAGACTCAATGCTAAGAAAAGATCAGGATCTCATTATCAATTTTATCCCTATTGTCCCTTTTATATTTTCCTTATTTGAATCATCCCACCATACAGTGCCCTATACTTCACACCATCGGGTCTTTAGGGGGTGAAAGTGATCTCTTTTGACCACATTTTTCAATATCACTAGGGAGATGCACAGCTTTTGTTAAGAATTCATGTTAAGCAGAGTGCACTACTGACATGGCCTTTGGTGCAAAAACAACTACTGACACGGCCTTTTACTTTTTTTTCTTAATTCAAATCTTTTTTGACCACTTTCACCTATTATGAAATTGATCCAAGCAGAGAAATTACATTGAGAACTGATTTAAAAAGAAAATATCATAAAGAGAATTTAGAAAAGAATGCAGTTTGTGGCATTAAACCAGCTTTCACAAACTCCATTTTCCATTAGATTAAATGCAAAAGAAGGCAACTATATCCTTGCTGATTGACCATTTTATAGTTATAGCAGGAAGACAACACATTTAGAAAAAAAAATAAAAAGCGGAAAACAAAATACACTTTCTTGGCGTTAACGAGAACTAATACCATGTGCATAATAGCTCCAACTTTCGCTCAGCAATATGGCGGGAGGAAAAAAGGAACAAAAGAAAAAAGCGAATAGAAAGATATAAGAATACTAGACCTCCATGACTTTGTTTTCATAATCACGTAGTTGTTGAGCATATGTCATTTCCTTGTTTGAGACTCTAAAAATGTATGTAGAAATCCACCCAACTGTGAGGCCCAAAACCATTACCAATTGAACTACATTCCCTGCTTGCAAAGGATCAACTCCAGCAAACTGCACCCCAGGAACATGTAAGAAGAATTACAAAAGTGGATGTGAAACATACAAATATTTACAAAAGAACATCAAGGTACCTCTAGTCCACTTTTCAAGCCAACCCCAAGAACTGTAACTCCAAGACCTATCAGTAAAACATCCTTCCTTGAATATCCAAAAGGTGTCTGAGCGAAAAGTAAGAGATGACTTAGCACTTGAGTCGATACAGAGAAGAACCAAGAGGACAACTTCAATTGAGGAATAACATTTAGGACTTCAGCCAATGTTTTCATGAGGACAAGAATAAAACAAGTAAAAACCCATCTCAAGATTCCATCCATAACATTTTCCCTAACTAGTCAGCTCTTGAGTCACTCTTTGGAATAAAATCTAGAGAGATATTTTCTTCAACGAGAGTGGTATGATGTGGCTTACAGCCTCCCCTATTATTGACATTATCAAAAACCTATTTGGCTATCAACCAAGAACATAACTCATTTAACCAGAATATGCAACAAATCACACATTTAAAAAATTTAAATGAATTGTGCACTTATCCTTTAGTTCAGGTGATAAAGGTGTAGGAGATAATAGAATCTGTAAAAGATTCAGTTTTACAATGCTAAAAAACAAAGAAATAATAATAATAATTAAAAAACATTAAAAAATTCAATGTAAATAAATCCAAAAAACCTTCATGTAATGCTGATAAAACAAACAAGCTACCGGGAAGTTACAGTTTATGTGATACATGCCTTGGTTTCATCAGAGGCATTCTCTTCACTGCCACTCGAGTTTGATGAATTGCTACATCTTGGAATAATGAAGATCACTTTCTTTTGCCTGTTGAATCCTCTTCTAAGAAAAGTAAGTGATTCCTTCCTATACATGTTTTGTGAAATGACTCTCCCTAAGCAATTAAGTAAAAGAATAATCAAACCCAAAACCTGAATGTCAGAACAAGAAACTTTAAATTTGAGCATAAAAAAGCTCTAGAAAAGAAAAAAAATTCCTCTAATTCAATAAAATAATAGAATAATATTATTGGAAATTGCTAGTATAGAAAAACCAGACAGACCAATATAAAAAACCATTTGCTGGTTTACTTCCATGACAATAATTCATTTGCAAAGTGAACTTCTCAAAAAATTCATTCGAGGAAAAAATAAATAATATTATTCAGTTAATCTAAAATAGTCTAACACATAATTTGGAAAAATTAAAAGAAAAAAGAAAAAACAAAGAAAAACATTTACCTTTCCAGAAAGCACTCATAGCTTCCGAACCCATTTGGAAGAATGGAATAGCAGGAATACCCACCACTCCATTTTTGCATAACGTACTGCAACATAGATTTCCCTGATGGAGGGAGGCCATGTCGACTGTTCTGTTAAATTGGTGAAAATTACAGAAAAAATCATTCAATTAAGTGGAAGAGAACAAGAAATCCAATCAAACCAATATCAATTAAGTCGAATCATATTGAAATTCAAGTATAATTTGAACCAAAAAGCGGAAGAAATTCCCGGTAGCGGTACCTGGAACTGGAATGGGTTATCCGGTAGCAGCGAGTGGCTGACGCTGAGGCGCGTTCTATGGAGTACAAAAAGCCAATAATCATCGGCCAAGAGGCTTTTCTACTTCCACGTGCGGTGCGCGTGACATTTTAAAATTTCCAATTTATAATTATTACAGTTATTTTACTAATAAAACATGGATTATTTAATTATTTTTTTTTAAAAAATCAGTTGTTGGTAAATAATTACTAATTTAACAAATAATTTATCTATATTCTCGTTCAAATTAAAAATTTCAATTTCAATACTTACTTAATACAAAATTCATATATATCATATCGTACTAAAAAAATTTATTGTACATTTTGTTGAAAAAAATATGTACTTTAATAATAATTTTAACATGTGTAATTAATTTAGTAGACCAACTTGTAATGTTGATTATTTTTTACAATAAGATATCTACTTAGGTCCAAAATTTCAAGGACTTAATAATTTGTCCTAATTTATAATATGATTTATTTATATGTTTAATTGTAAAATTACAAAAAAAAAAAAAAATCATTTTCAAAAATTAAAAATTTTAATTTTAATATATTGTATATATTTAGGAGAGGCAGAAAGATTGGATGTTAGTTGGAGGGGAATCAACTTTGAAGTGTTTGCTTGCCAGCTAACTTTAATCCCTGGATTAAGTTTTGATGATAAAACTACTCCAACAACCAAACAAGCTTCTAATTTAATTAAACCAACAGTCTTCTGCACTTTAAGACTAACACAAAACCCAAACAGACCCAATCATTTGGGGAAACCCTACTTACATATTCTTTATGCTCAAGCAATTCCTAATATTCTCCCTTTTTCTTTTTTTTCTTTAATGTTATACCAATCTTTTTTGGATTACCAGTTTGATTTCTTTAATTGGGTTAATGATCCAATAATTTTTTTATGTATTTAAAATTTTATTTTTCGATTACTATTATTCTTAAGAATTTAACAAAAAATTGTTAAAAATCGTAGAAACTAAAATAACATCATTGAATTTTTTTGTATATTATATTAATTATATTACGTATAAACATTAGTTATAACACAATATTATAATACTAATACATAAAAATATACAATTCAACTCGAATTTAAGAAAATCACAAATCAAACGACTAAACACCAAAAATTTCTTATGAAATTTGTCATACAGAAGTTATGACTAAAGCTTCATTAGTCAATTAACCCAAACCTAAACTTAATTAATTATACCCACCCACCAAGCACAGTTCTAAATTTGTTTTTTTGCTGCTCTTCTTCTTTTAATTTTCTTTTCAGTACTAAGTTGAGAATTGTCTGTTGAAAACGACTTTGATTAAAATAAATTTGTATTAATGACTTTGAATTAGAATGATTAAAAAAAAAAATTATCTTATTCACATTATATTTCAAATTCGTATTGTGTGAAATTTAAAATCTGAACCAAATCAAACTTAATGTATTGCATATAACTAGATCATAATCTTGGTTGGTATCGACTATAATAAACAAATATATATATATACACAGAGAGAGAGAGAGAGATATATATATATATATATATATATGAATACCCATGAATGCATATATATTTCTGTTTCCTGCTGTGTATTCATACAGATAATTAATTAATTGATTAATATATATATGTGTGTGTAAAGATTGTATTACATATGGAGTTAGGTGACCAGCTAATGGGAATAATATGGAGGAGAGTAGCTTGTTACCATCTCCAATCATTAGTCTGGTGGTGTCGTTTTGTGAGGTCTGATACATTCCCAACTCTCTCCCTCCATCCCTCACCATGTGCTCCCCTTTTCCTTAATTAACATATTTAAACATTTAATAAAGGACTAAACCCCATTTTTTTAATACTAATTGCATTAGAAATGTTATTCTCACCCTCAATACCCTTTCATTTTTCGTGCAACCTGAGTTAATTAATATAATCCTCCTACTTTACTCTTTTAATTTTTTTTAAAAAAAACTATAATCACGTATATTCTGTTAATTAAGTGATGCCTGTTAATTATGATACAATTCATATGTATTAAATAGATATAAAAATAACCAGTTTAAATTAAATTTTTATAAATTTTCATAAAACGAGAGAGGCAGTAACGTTAAAAATTTATTATTTTAATATTTTTATTAATAAATTAAAAAATAATAAATTATTAAATTAATCTTTAAAACTTAATATTATCGTTATAATTTTTGTCTCTTTTCTAAACATCTAATTTTTCTTTTTTATTTTTTAAATTAAAAATTAAATTATAACCAACCTCCTCGTAGATCTCCATTAATTACCACATTTCAGGGTGCATGGAAAATGCATGCACCAACGTGTCCGGTATACAGCAGTGGTGGTATTGTTGAATATTGAGAAACAGACGACAATGGACCCCTCTCTTTCTCTGAGTCCCATCTACCAACACCCATGAATAAATTCATCAGCGTCTCACCCTTCCCATATCTCCTCTAACCCTTTCCTTCCTCACTTTCATCCACAAACACCAATATATACATGTATACATATGTTCAGAGACCAGAAATACTAAACCTATACAAACAACACCTTGATTTTATCTCTCATCGTCTCCGTCTCTGCGTCTCTTGAAATAATGGGTAATGTAGCATCTTGTGCTCCTTCAATAATCTCAAATGGAGTGATCAAAGTCTTGCCCTTTAATGGCGGAACTCTGCAAATCTACACAAAACCAGTTAAAGCAGGGGAAGTGATGGTGGAAAACCCAGGAGAGTTTGTGTGTGATTCGAGTAGTTTGAAAGTAGGGCAGAGGATTCATGGGTTATCAGCAGAGGAGGAGCTGGAAAGGAGACAGCTCTATTTTCTTCTTCCCATGGAGCTTCTCTACTCGGTGCTGACTCACGAGGAACTGAGTTCACTCAGTTGTAAATCTACAAAGGCTCTGAAACAGGCAACCACGGGTCAGTACTCAAATAATTTTGGGAAGATTTTTCCAGTTCTTTCTGAGTTCTGTATTTTCCCGTCGGAGCCCAAGACTTCCGATCATCATGAGGATGATGATAATAAGAATTATGGTTCAGGAAGTGGTGAAAATCTTGAAAGATTTTCCAAGCAAAGATCGTGGAAACCTGCGTTGGAAACCATTGTTGAAACTCCATGTAGGCATTAATCAGATCAAAGCAACAGAGTTTTTCTCTTCTTTCTTAAATTTGTTATTATTATTATTATTGTAAGTGATAGAGTGGGAGCTGGAGGTTACTTACATAATTTTCTCTGCTTGATTAATTCAGATTAATTAGTGCTGCTGTGAATTTGTATGTCTCCATGATCTGATCTGGTAACTTGGCAGATTTCCATGACCATTATCATTTTACTAGGCAATTATAAAAAGGGTTTTCTGGGATTTCTATAATCGAATAGTTGTTATATAGTTTAGGATCATAAATGAATTGTATTTAATAATAATTATAACTATTCTCTTTTCAAATTACATGTTAATGGGTGATACGTAGATGTCTCAATGCATATATAAAGAAAGGCCGAGTAATTCATAATATAAAGCCAGCATTTTTGGCGGATCTGATGCCTTTATATATTCCCCTTGTCCCAATCCCTTTATGGGTCCTCCATAACCATTCATCAGTTTACATGTTTGATAATATTAACTTACATGCACTGTGAAATATGTTGTATTATGTATAAATTAATTTATTTTGCGGGTGTATTGTAAATTGTCGGTATCTAATTTATAACATTTAATTAAGTAAGATAACGATTAAACCCTTTTGGACAAAAAAAAGAAGATTTTGTAAAGGATAAATTTTCTAATTGGAGTAATTAAATTGGGTTCAAAAACTATACTTTAATAAAAAAAAAAAAAAACCATATTAAATTTTAAAAAAATATTACATCCCTTCTGCTTAAACTAAGTCAAGATTTAGAAATTTTTTATGGGGAATTGCTCCAAACATGGTACAAAACTCAAGGGTTCAAATTATGTTGAAGGGTAAAAGAAAATGAAATATAGTGTATGTAAATGCCAGAATCATAGTTATGATTATATATATTATTGCAAATGTAGGAAAGTAATTATATTATTCTTATAATACAATACCATTAAAAGGAAATATTTTTAGATACCAATAATCAAATTTGAGAGGATCAGAAAGCAACTCGACATAGAAGAAGACAATCAATCACAATAGGACAGAACCAGGCTTCTTTTAAATACATAATACCAAAACTATATTACTAATTGACAAATAAATTAATTTAAAATTAATTAATTACCAGCCAATAGATAATTAAGGAATTAATAGATTATTATGTAAAAATAAAATAGAAAATTAAATGAAGGCACCTGAATTTTAACCTACGCACCCACTGCAGATCCTGCCGAGAGAAACCGGGAACCGACAGAGCGCCCCAGCTGTGGAGTTATCTTCCTCCACGTCAGCGACGGCCGGAGGCAGGACTCTTCCGTCGGCGAACAAAACGCGTCCGTCACTGGATCGCTGCTGGCTCACCATGACGCTCTCCAGCTCCGCCGCAGCTCCGAACAATGCCCCGTCCCCGAACCTCCGCTCCACTTCCAGATACTCTCCGAGTGAAGCTGGCTTCCCGTCTCCCCCATCCCTGCAGAGCCGCCACCACTTTCTCCGTCGCCGCTCCGCCACAGCTGCCGCTGCAGCCGTATTAGCCGCCAGGCCCCTTTTCTTCCTGCTGTTGGGCTTAACGCGGGAGACGGAGACGGCAGGGGAGGCGCGGGCGTCGCGGTTTTGCTGCGAGTTGGCCCTGAATGTAATGGCGGGGAAGCTCACACCCATTAGGGTTCCCAATGTCGTGCTTCGGTCATGGAAGAATGACCCTGTCGACTGCCACCCAGCATCGACCCAATGAAAATAAATAAATTTTGAAAGGACACACCAAATGGGTGTCCGGAAAAAGCAGCAATTTGAAGAAAAATTTGAAAAATACTTGAAGAAGAACACGTTTGATTACTAACCTCAGTGTCAAGATCGGAAGAAGAAACGGATGAGATGGTAGGGGAAGAGGGTGGAGGGAGCAAATCGTTGACTGGATCTAGCATTTTTATTGAATCCTTAGCCGACCCAATTCAACTCCCTGACTCTTTCTATTTAAGGGGAAGAGAGAGAGGAGGAGAGAGAATATAAAAATGGGATTCATCAGTTACTAGTGCCTCATTACTGAAAAAGAAGGGTTTGATTGAATGGCAGGGGAGGGAGATGGTGATGGTTTCCTCTGAGGATTGTGTTTGGAATGATTAATGGTTGATGCTGTGTGCTGTGTGTCTCTCTTCTTTTTCTTTAGCTTTTTCAGGCTCAATTGTCCATTGAATGTGCAATTTAAAAGCTTTTTTGAAAAAAAGAAGCTGTTTATTTTGTTTTCTTTTTCTTTGCAAGGGATCTGTCTGGATTATATAATATCCATATCCATATCCATATCCATTTAAATCTTCATTGTAAATTTTGTCATGAATTCAAAGTTCACAAATTTTTGAATCTAATAATTTAATATACTCAAGGAGTGAAGTCATCACTCTCATGTGAATATACATATTAATTTTTTTCCCAAAAAGGTACTACAAAAAAACAAAAGGATTTAATAGTTTTTTCTTCTTTTTGTTAAGAAACAAACTGTACTTTCAACAGTGAAATTAAAATACTGACGTTACGGTTTCATCTGAGGTCAAATGAGTGAGATTTTTAACGTGTAGAGGGTAAATATATATATATATATATACACACACACACACACACGCACATATATAATGATGTTTTATTGTAGAGGGCATACATGGCATGGCATGGCATGGCAAGAAAGACAGACGCAGCAATTGGGTTTGGTCTAAAAAATTATAAAAATAGAATTAAGAAAAACTATAGAAATATTATATAAACTATATTGAAAATTAATACAAAAATATAGCTGAAACCCAGTTTATTAAGCCTGGTGGGCAAAGCAGAGTTGAACCCGTGGTGGGTTATTTTTAATGTTTTTGAATGACAAATTTAATTTTTGTTTATTTAGAAAAATATCAACAAGTTTATGGCTCATATGTTTTCATAATAATGTTCTTAAAATTATTTAACGTGTATTTGACGTCAAGAAAACTTCAAAAAAAAGTTTAATTTTCTAATGAAGTTTACTTAATTTTTTAATGGAAAACAATTAAAATTACTACAGAGAGAAAGAATGATAGGATCATAATTATTATTTTTATAAGGAGTATAGTGGTAAAAGGCAAATAGTCTAAGTGGTTGGGAGCTGTTGGCTTAAAGCTTTCAAAAAAGACTGGTCATTCAGAGTTTCTTATCTTGGGTTAAAAGCTCTGACAGACAAGTCATTTTCTACGTTTATCCAAACAATTTAAGCATCTTTAACCAGGAAAGTAAACAAATTACAATTCAAACACCGTGTTTGAATTGAGTTAAGAGTTTCTAGTATTTTAGTGCATAGAGCTTAATAGTCGTATTAAGCTCATAGCAATTGAAGTAGAAAAAGTGTTTGATGCTTGACTTCTATTTTGGTTTTTATACTTGACTTCTATTAAGCTATTGAATGTTAGTCAAATGAGAACCTCAAAGTGAAAAAAAATGGTACAAGTAATTAGAATTTATACAAGTGTAATATTTATTTTGATTTCAGACGTTTTGATCAAAAGCAATACTGTAAATGGTGAAAGGAGTCTTTAATTTTTCATTAAAGGTTTTTCAAAAGATTTAGTGTTAGGAACTTATGTTTTTGCTTTATAATTTTTAATGTCATTCAATCGGATGAATGATAGGTTTTACTTTAGGAATCTCTTATTTTTGTGATTCCTTTACTTGGGAGGAATTATTTTACCCAACAATGAATGATATGTTTTTCATCGATTCGGAAAATGAGTTCATTCCATTCCGGTGCAAAAACTAACTCAAAAATATCTTAAACTGCTAAAAAAACATAATTTATTTCGTTGCTGTTGCGTAATCTTAATCTGTTGATAGTGAAATTTTTGATTTCCAAGTTTTAAGTAAGAGTCAAATTCTCACCACCATAAAAAGATAGTAATATAAAATGATGGTAGTAATACCAACTCTATAAATTATATTCTAATTATATATTATGAGAATTATTAAGTTAGAAATTATGAAAAAGTTAAACCGAACCCTCAAAAACTTATAAACTAAGCCATCTTCATCAATAAACATAAACTGTTCAACTGATCAGAAAAAAAGGTACGAGGAATGATTCAGTCGCTTCTGAAACAGTACATATTTGATCAAAACAATTGAATTGTAAAAACGCAAACGTACCATGTATAGCCCGGCAATAGAATTGTCTCCTTTTTTATCAGATGCAACAGTGGCAAGTTTTGCTGTGTGCAATACAATCTTATGAGTTTCAAAATCAATCTCTGCTCCAAGTATCCAACAGTCAGCAAACCAATTGACAGATTGAAAGATGAGGGAGACAGAGACACTCCACTAATTTCATAACCAGTATCACCGCAGTACATATTGCACCAATGTATATTATTATTGCTCATTCAATTTATTCACGAAGACAATGCAACTTCCAATATGAGGGGAAAAAAAGGTAAACCAATCCGAGGATCAAGCAATACGTGAAAATAAACACATCACCATATTGTAAAGTACTGAGTTATTAACCCAACCTCTTAGAGCAGTCTGCAATTAGGATCCTGCCTCTTCCAGTGTTTTCCACACTTGATCATGAGCTGGCATCCTGTGATTCTACCGCTCAAGAGAATTGAGCTAAAAGCATGAGAGCAGGTATATATTTCTCTGACTACAAACAATTGTTTATAAAACATTGCTGAAAGCCGTGACCATAAATATAAAATAAGAGAATATATTTCTTTCTAAAGTTGGACTGCCAATATACATTGTATAATCAAGACCATGGAAAACCTTTACAAAGTTACTGATCTTGAAAAAGTTTTTCAAACCTAACCTGAAACTGATACCACAGATAATCCATCTACATGGTTGAAAAATCACGTATATAATCATCCCACATTTCAGAAGCAATATCATCACGCAAATGC